AAAAATTATTTGAGAAAAAAATAAATACAGGGTCCATTTACCTTTGTATAGTCAATTAGTTCAATTACTCTTTTTCATATTTGTACTTAGATAAAATGCTTGTGTATTTATAGGGGTGTCACAGTACACAATTCTGGTAGCCCCTGTAGAAAGTATTAAAATTATTTTGTAAAGATTGGTGGTTATATTAGAATTTATCATATGTTCTTATGTAAGTGTTATATATGCATGACATATAAGTGTTATTATATGCCAAAAAATTCTTCGAGTTTTTAGGTTTTAAATTGTGACATAAACACTGAAACTATTGTGGTCATCAAGACAAAAATACATTAGAGCTTAATAAAAATATAAATCTTATGATTCTCAACAAAATGTTAAGGCTTTGATGATAAAACATATTTTACAATAATGGTTTCAACTCTGGGTATCAGAAATAACTATTAGAATAAACTTGTTTAAACTATGAATCAGAGAAAATCTATGAGGGGTGGGGGGCAGGGAAAGGAGGGGTTGGGGTCAAAATAAGGAGGTTGTAATTATATGGGTTGTAATTATATAATTTTAAAATAAAATTTAAAAAAGCAACACAAAAAAAAGAATAAACTTGTTTAAATTCTATCCGATCAGAGAAAATTAATTTCTAAATCAATATGCATGATTACTGGCAAGATTATTTTATTAACTTAAAACATGCTATGTTGGAAATTGATGTTATTGAAAAGAAATTTTTATTTGTAATATACTCACTGACTAGAGAAGAAAATTCTTTACAAATATATTTTATTTCCCTTCCTATTTCTTTTCTTCATATTGAATAACATTTATACCTATTAAATTTCTAAACATGGTTCAATTCTCCAACAGTTTCATCTACTATTTATTTATATAGCCCATTGGTGATGTCAGTTGGATGTAGATGGTTTAGAAAATCTTCATAATCTGGGTTTTCAAACATTGTTGAGAAATTTTGTTCAATTCTCATTCTGAATTGATAGCTGCTTTTTATGTTTCTCTCCATTCAAGATCTATTTTCAGTTTGTCAGAACAAGTAGCAAGTATTTATGACAAGTTTCATTCCCTTAATTGAAGTCACATGTTAAAGAAGGAGGAGTCCTGTCCAGAATTTGTGTCTAAACATACTGAGAAAGCAGAATTAATAGCGTCACCACAGGGAAAGCATTAAAGAGCTACAGCCCTGGAAAGCAAACACTTAACCAGGACCTATTCACAATGTTGGCTCCACATGGTCAAGTAGAACAACAAAGAACTCTCTGTGGATCACAGTAATGTTGATCTTTAAAATCTCTTGGAAATAGGTTGGTAAAACACTGTTTAGGAGGTAGAAGAAAAAGAGCTTAGATAGGTTTGTACTGATTCTTTTCGTTTACTTTCAGAACTTTTGTCATCATATGTTTTGCCTATTTTATTTATTTTATTGAGGCATCAGTGATTTATATCCTTATTTGTGTTTTGGAAGTATAGGATGCCCTCTCTTCCCAGTATAGTTATTGTAGTGCACACAGAACTTTTAGAATAAATATTATTAATCTCTGTGGAGAAATTCTTTTACCTATAATATGAAAGAAAGATTAATTTATTCTCTATAAGAGAATAAATTATAAGAAGCTATTTTTTCATTTGTGATTTCAGAAATCTTGATCCAACAGAAATAAAAGAGGGAAATGTAAATTAAATTGAAAATGAAGAATTTAAATACAGCATATTATTCTTCAAGACTGTGGCACTAAGATATTTAGATCCATTTCTAAATCTTGTAATGTGTATGAAAAATTGTTTGCAGATTTCCTATGTCAGAATTTCCATAGGCATAAAAAGGATTTTTCCCCTTCCTGAACTAATATTTGGAGGTTATAGTAATTATGGAAATAATTAACAGTTTAACAGCATGCTATTGACCTCAATTTTGAAATGTTTCCATTTTTTCATATAATTTCATATAATTCATATAATTTTAGGCACAATTACACAAACCAACATGTTTGTCATAATAAATTAGTATTATTTATTTATCCCCTGCTCAGAAATTGTAAAACTCTGATAGTGTATGACAACTTGCAATATATTTCAGAGTTATTTTTTATTTCTATCCAATTTGGTCTATGGCAGAATGTAGGCTCAAAATATGATTCTTGAAAAGTTTATTCTGCAGAAATCACTAGACGACTTTGTCAAAATTATTCCCACCAGCATATTCAGTTAGTTTTCTAAGTGTATCCACTTTTGAATCATGGTCGTAGTTCAAGGTATATTCAGGAAATATATTGAAATAGCACAATAAAGAAAAACACAGCTTTTTGTACCACATGAGAGAGAGAGAGAGAGAGAGAGAGAGACCAGCAATTTGATATTTAACTGCTCTCTAATCATATGTTTTCCTGATTATTATATATATATATTATATTATATATTATTATTATATATTATTATATATTATACAATATATATATTATATATATATTATATTATAAGAAACTATGAAGGTGGGTTATTGACAATCTGTTGATATGTTTTATTCAAACATATATATGGGAAATGCATATATAGTTATATATACATATATTATATTTGTGTATATATGTGTAAATACATATATGTGTGTTCAATATATGCATATATGTGTGTATATATGTGTAATGCTTTAGGTGTTATGAATAGAATGAAAAACAAAAGGCATGATATCTGTTCTCTTAAACTTACTGAAAGACTACTATGGGGTTGTTAAACAAATATTTACCTACATGGTACATGATTATAATTCCTTCTTATTGTAATTGTGGTAACTAACAATTGTTGATGCATGCTATTTTCCAAGCATTGTTCTAAATACCTTACATTAAATAGGTTATACTCACTTAATCTTTAACTCAACATAAGCAAACTTATTGGCCCCACTCTTTTTTTTTTAAAGATTTATTTACTTATTCATACAAGAACTGGGGTACAGGCCAGAGTTATGGGGGGTGAGAGGATTCACCAGAGACAGAGAGGAGAGCAGAACAGACAGATCTACTGAAACACACTGCTGAGGGGAGCAGCGGGCGAGTCAGGAGAGGTCTGCTGCACCTTGTGGGTAGCTCCCTGGCTGGGGATTGAACTCGTGCTGCAGTGGCTGTGTATAGATTCATAGGTTGCATATTAACCCCGTGCACCACCAAGAAGGCCCCCCTACTCTTTTTTTTTAAGATTTATTTTTAGTTATTTATACATACAAAACTGGGGTGTAGGCCAGTGGTGTGGAGGGTGAGAGGATTCACCAGAGACAGAGTGGGGAGCAGAACAGGCAGATCTACTGAAATACACTGCTAAGGGGAGCAGTGGGTGAATCAGGAGAGGTCTGCTGTACCATATGTGGGTCAGCTCCCTGCCAGGGCATTGAACTTAGGTCACAGCGTTGGTAGCTTGATAGCGCTAAGACTTATCATCTACTTATCATCTACACCATCAGGGAGGCCACTGTCCCCACTCTTAAAGATGAGAATCTGAGCTTGGAAACGTGTCACTTGTCTGGGTCCATATAGATAAATAACTTAGAGAAGACATGAACAGAAATCTTTATGCTATCCCAGCCCTCTGTAAATTTCCATATATGTGATATGCCAAACAAAAAGAGTATGAGTTCAGGGAACTCCTCTTTAAGCAAGAAATATTGGCTGAAAGAAAGTCAGAATTGACTCAGAATGAATAGGAATTCAGAAAAGAAGGGGAAGTACGCTGAGGGTTTGATTTTTTTTTTAAGATTTATTTATTAATGCATACAAGAACTGGGGTACAGTCCAGAGGTGTGGGGGGTGAGAGGATTCACCAGAGACAGAGTGGGGAACAGAATAGGCAGATTGATCAAAATACACTGCTGAGGGGAGCAGCGAGCGAGTCAGGAGAGGTCTGCTGCACCATGTGGGTTGCTCCCTGGCAGGGATCGAACTCTTGCTGCAGTGCCTTCATAGGTTGTGTCTTAACCCCTTGCACCACCAGGGAGGCCCATGTGCTGAGAGCTTCAGATGAGAATTAATCTGAATTGTCAAAATGGTAGAAGGTTGGGAGTCATGTTTAAAGTGACTTGCAAGATGAAAATGAGGCTATTCAGGTCCATTCATGCCATTCTGATGACTGAGCATATTTCTTAAAAGTAATCAACAAGTTTTAAGCAGAAGGATAATGTAATTTTATTGAACTGTATATCAATTTAAAGGCATAACACTGGATGTAAGGAGTGAAGAATATTGCCAGAATATAGAAAAGAAATAATAGTTGTTTGGATTAAGGTAGAGAGTGTGAGAGGGTAATAAAAACATATTTTTTTTGCATTGAAATAGACCAGTTTAGGTGATGTTAGGTGTTGGGATTGAAAGAGTTAATGCTGTCGAGGATAAATTTTATATCTGCAAATAAAAAGCTGGAAGATCAAAGGTATTGCTCACTAAGAGGTAGTGGAAGAGGAACACTCTTTTTCTCGGTCTGACATTAACCAAATAATTATATCTTACAGGTGAATTACCAAATAATTATATCTTACAGGTGAACACATATAAAAGAATGGGTTCACTATATCAAGTCACTGCGATTTTTCAGAGAATCATAGGATTATATCATTTAAAAGCCAAATCTATTTTGAACTTTTAAATTTACATGTGAAACTTTAGACCTTGACTTAAAGAGTGAATTCACTAAAGTGAGATAGATAAAAATATAATATTAAATTTATAACCATTAAAGAATCTACAACAAATGCCAGGTTACTTGGCAATAAACTACTATATCCACCATTTTTAATTAAACATAAATCTTCTCCCTTTATTTGGTTTTATATTTAGATAATCTCCATTGACAAATTTCTCCTCCTCCCCCCTCCTTCTGTACTCTCTCTTCCCCCAATTCCTACTCTTCACTCTCCTCTTCTTTTGTCGTTATCTACATCCTCATACTCCTCCAACAGCTCTTCCTATTCTTCTCACTCGGGATTTGGACACTGAAGAACTATGGACCAAAGCAATTATAGCTCTCTAAATGGTTTTATTCTGCTGGGCTTCTCTGACCATCCCACACTGGAAATTGTCCTGTCAGGAATTGTCAGCATCTTCTACTTAATTACATTGGTGGGTAACACAGCCATCATTCTGGCATCTCTCCTGGACTCCCATCTTAACACACCAATGTATTTCTTCCTCAGGAATCTATCTTTCCTAGATCTGTGTTTCACAACAAGCATCATCCCTCAGATGCTGGTTAACTTGTGGGGACCTGATAAGACCATCAGTTATATGGGCTGTGCCATTCAACTCTATGTTTATATGTGGCTGGGTTCTGTTGAGTGCCTTCTCCTGGCTGTTATGTCCTATGATCGTTTTATAGCTATTTGTAAACCCCTGCATTATTTGGTAATCATGAACCCACACCTATGTCTCAAGATGATTATCACAGTCTGGAGTACTAGTTTTGTTGTTTCTTTAATATTATGTACACTCACCCTGAATTTGCCTCGATGTGGAAATAACCGTCTGGAACATTTCTTGTGTGAGTTGCCAGCTATGGTCAGGTTAGCTTGTATAGATACCACAACAGTTGAAATGTCTGTTTTTGCTTTAGGCATTGTCATTGTCATTACACCCCTCATCCTTATTCTCATATCCTACGGTTACATTGCCAAAGCTGTACTGAGAATGAAGTCAAAAGCAGGCCAACGAAAAGCAATGAATACCTGTGGATCTCATCTTACTGTGGTGTCCATCTTCTATGGAACTATAATTTACATGTACCTGCGACCAGGTAACAGTGCCTCCAAAGATCAGGGCAAGTTCCTCACCCTCTTTTACACCATCATCACTCCAAGTCTCAACCCTCTTATTTACACCTTAAGGAATAAGGACATGAAGGATGCACTGAAGAAGTTGATGAGAATTGACCATGGATCTAAAAAATCAAAGCGGGACTGGAATTCATAGAAAAATGTTAGATTTGATATGGCAATGAAATATGTTTTCTAATTGACTAAAATTTTTACTGAGATAACGAATGATACAGATAAATTAATATAAAAATGTTTGTATAGAAATATTTTGTAGACACAAACAATATAACCACCCTACTTAGATTTCTGGCATGTCTAGTGATTGGCATGTCTTCAGGGAAAATGGGTAATTAGGAATTTTATTTTTGTTTGTAAAATAAAATAAGAGTAATATAAACACAAAATTGAATGCATTTAATTAATTTCAAAGTCCCTTAGAATCTGTTTTGGTTATTTAATTTTGTATTTTCTATGCTAATACTTATATCTTTAGAAATATAGATGTGAATGAATAATTTCATGTACATTATGGTTTGTATCTTAAATAATAATTTCTAAACAATGATGATAAATAATAATATATAAATCTTTTACATTGAAACTCCAGGGGTAGCTTTCAAGCATTCATGTGTGTTTGGCAGAGACAATAAGACCTGTAAGATAGCAATTTTCTTAATCACCACTTGAAGGAATTTACTCTTTGTGCAATGAAACTTGACATCAATATCTTAGATAAAGGTCCTTGCTATTTGAGCTTATAACTTCTTATCAGAATATAGCAATGTAAAAGACACAAATTAAAGGGACTTAAAGGTGAAAACACATTCTTTTTTTTTTTAACAGAAATTTATTTATTTATTTATTGCATAGAAGAACTGGGGTATAGGATAGAGGTGTGACGGGTGTCTTTTTCTTGATCTTGTGTTCAGTTTCTCTATGTTGCACGTGAGGGAAACCATCCAGTATTTATCTTTTTCCTTCTGACTTATTTTGTTTAGCATAATCCCTTCCAGCTTCATCCATGTTGCCACAAATGTCGTGAGTTTATAATTTTTGAATGCTGAATAGTATTCTGTTATGTATATATATATCACAACTTTTTGACCCATTCATCTATTTTGGGACTTTTAGATTTTTCCATACTTTATATTATAAATAGTTCTTCAAGGAACATAGGAGTACAGGTTCTCTTTTGAAATAGTGGTTTTGTGTTCTTAAGGTAGATTCCTAGGAGTGACACCTCTGGGTCATATGGCAAATCTATTTTTAGTATAAATTCCAAGGAGTGGAAACACTGGATCATACGGTAGATCCATTTTTACTCTTTTGAGGAAACTCCTCATAGCTTTCGAAAATGGCTGGACTAATTTACATTCCCAACAGCAGTGCAAAAGTGTTTCTTGTTTTTCAAAACCTCACCAGCATTTGTTGTTGCCAGTTTTTTGTTTTTGTTTTTGTTTTTCTTTTTTAATATGGGCCATTCTAATTCATGTGAGGTAGTATATCATTGTGGTTTTGATTTGCATTTCCCTGAAATTGGCCTTGTTGAACACTTTTTCCACTTTTTCATGTCTGTTGGCCATTTGCATTTCTTCTTTGGAGTATTTTTTTTTTTAACGTTTCTGCCCATTTTTTGACTGTGTTTTCTGCTCTGTTGTTGAGTTGTGCAAATTCTTTGTAGATCTTTAATATCAGTCTCTTATTAGATATATGGTAGGCAAATATTTTCTCCCATTCAGTAGGGACGTTTCTTCATTTGGGTGACTATCTCTTTTGTTGTACAGAAACTACTTAGTTTAAATTAGTCCCAGCTGTTTAACACCTCTTCTTTTTTCCTTGCTTCTGAAGGTAAGTCCTCAAAGAGATTTCGGAGGTATATGTCATGGAGTATTTTGTCTATGTTCTCATCTATGTATTTTTTTGGTTATAGACTTTTATCTGTTTTGAGTTTATTATATGAGTTTTTTGTATTGTTGAGTTTATTGTATTGAGTTTTTATGTATGCTGTGAGATAGTAGTCTAATTTCATTCTTTTGCATATGTCAGTACAGTTTTCCCAGGACCATTTATTAAAGATGCCTCCCTGGTTCCAGTGTATATTCTTTGCTATTTTGTCATAGAATACCTGACAATATATGTGTGGTTTTATTTCTAGGCTTTCAATTCAATTCCATTGGCCTTTATGACAGCTTCTGTTCCAGTGCCATGTGGTATATTATTATTATGACTTTGTAGTATAGTTTGAAGTCTGGGATTGCAATACCTATGTTCTATCTGCTTTTAGTCAGAAGAGCTTTTGATACAGGGCATCAAGGGGCACTAAAACTGGCCAAGGACACTGCCCAAATAGTTTACCAGTCACCACTGTCTGAATTCATTTTTTCTGATATAAGTATGGCTGCCCTGACTTCTTCAGGGAGCCATTTGCCTATAGGATTGTTTTCCAATACTTTATTTTCAATCTATATTTACCTCTGAAACAAAGTGTGTTACCTGGAGGCAACAGTAGTTTAGATTTTCTAATCCAAACTGCTACTCTGTGTCTTTTTAATGGTAAATTTAGTCCATTAATGTTTAGGGTGAGTATGATTCCTGGATGTCTGTTGCTGCCATTTTGTTCATTGTTTTGTGTTTCTGTTTCATTCCTTGTTTAGTTCTTTGTACCCATTTTTCTGTTGGTTTAGATCCTAAGGCTTCTTGAAATATTATTTCTAATGTGATTTAGTTGTGCTCTGTTCCCAAAGATTTTGTTGTCTGAGAAGGTTCTTAATTTTCCCTCATATAGGAAGGAGAGCTTTGCAGGATAGCATATTCCTGGTTTGATTTTTTGTCTTGGAGCTTTAGAATGTCACTCCATTCTCTTCTTGTCCACAGTGTTTCTTGAGAGAAGTCTTATGTTGGCCTAATAAGTTGTCCTTTATAAGTTATTTATTTCTTTCCCTCATCAGTTTCATTATTGTTTTTTGTCTTGGACTCTTGGAATCTCTACTACTACGTTCTTGCTGTGTTTTCCTTTCATTTTATGATAGTTTAATATCCTTCTAGATTTCTGTATGTTTATTTTCATGTTCCACTTCAAGTTTGGGAAGTTCTCTTCAATTATTTCCTTGAATAGTTTTTCGACTCCCTTGTCTCTTTCTTCTCCTTCTGGTATTTCAATGACTCTTATATTTCCTTTCCTTATGGAGTCATATAATTCTCAAAGTGTTTCTTCATTCTTTTTCCTTTGTCTCTTTTTCTTTTTTATCTGTGTCTTCGAGATTACTGATTTTTCTTCCATATTTCTATACTGCTTTTATGGCTCTTTCCAGAATTCCTTACCACTTCCATTGATCTTTTAATATCCTGCAGTTCTTTTATTTTTTTATTTAAAGTTTCATTCTTAATCTCCTGTTCTTTTATCGTTTCTCATAGAATTTTTATCCCTTTTTTTATATCTTCTCACATAACTCTGAACTGTTTTTCAAATTCTTTGACTTTCTTAATTTTGGCAATTTTGAGTTATTCATCTGACAAATGGGCATTCATTTGTGTCTATAATACTGGATTCTGGAAACTGATTTTCTTTCTTTGCTGTATTGCTCCCTGGAGTGCTTGATTGACCATTTGTATTTTTCTTTCTCTCCCTTGTTTTATTTTGGAGTTGTTGTAAACATGGGTCTGTCAGACTGCCTGGCTAGTGGAACCTCTTATAGCTCCCACCAAGCTGTGATTCCACCATACTGCTGGTGGCAATGAGGGAACCAGATAACACCTTTAGGTTCAGGATTAACATATGGGATTTTGGCACCCAACTTCCTTCCCTGCCAGTATGACCTAGGGAATGAACATGACAAACCCACTGGGCTTCCAACATCTTATTTCCTGTTCCTGCCCAGGAAGTACCTATCCCACGTTGTCTGCCTTCTTTCTTTACTCTCTAACATACACACAGATGAAGAACAAGGGATGTGGGAATGCTCAGGTGAGATCACAATTGTGTATTGACCTACTTTGGACCACCCTTTGCTGTCTTTTAATATTGCCTGCCAAATGGCCAGAAGCATCAGGAATGAAGCCAAATCTAACATCTAAAAAGATGGAAAAAATCTTACTCTGGGCTTTCTTCAGCTCAGAGTCTATAAATTTAGATTGCAACATAAAAAACATCTGGTTTTCTTGAAAGCCTCTGGCCAAGCAAGCTTAATAGTGGGCTATCTACAGAATGAGGGTGCCTAGTCACCAGTGTTCTAAGTTCTATTGGGATTAATCATCAAGAAAGTAAGGTCACTTTTTCAAGATTTCATTACCTGCACCCCTTCCTGCAATTAGACCTACCCAAACCCCATTCTGAGCTATTGATTACTCACCTTCCTCCCCAATGTATCTTAACTTTACATAATGATACAACACAGCCCTCTCAACAGCTCCCTGGAAATGTAACTAGAGTCTTAAATTTAAGGAGATAGTTGAAATCATACCTCCTTTTTCTTACCAATCTTGTGGTGAGGTATTTCCCAGACAGCATAATGACAATCAGGCTAGATTCTGCTTTCCAGAAACATCATCATATATATGATATGATGCCTGTAACACATGGTGACAAGTCCAAGGCACAGAGTGAGAAATTTACAAGAAAGCATGAGAGAGCATGGAACACCACTCAAAACAGGCTTGGGTTCCAGGAGTATGATACTTTCCTTTTGGCCTAATGTTAAGGTCAATACTATGAGGGAGTTTACACTAATGCCTATTCAGATAGTCATCCTCTGGAGTAAAATCATTGCTTGCTTCTTCTTATACTTTAATGCGACCCAGGTGCTTCTGAAACCATCAAGGTTGTGGAGGCAAAATATTCACAATTGGTGGGTACTCACAAGTGCAATTGCAGGATACAACTCAGGATTAAAAAACAATAGGATTTATTTATAAAGGGGACAGAGATATAGAGAAGTTGGGAGAGAGGAAAGAGAGGCAGTGACAATGGTCAGGCAGTGGTTTGAAGTAGAAGTCAGACATGAAAGTCTTAAAAGTCAAATGTATGCAAAGTTCTGTGAAGGTCTACAATGGTCTCTCCAGAGGTGGCACCATAGCAGTCAGCAACAGCAATCCAAGGGCCAAGGTGGGCAGCACTGGATGCTGGACCAAGCAGTACCAAAGGGAACAGCACTAGAG